TTGAGAGGTAATGATGTGGAGTCATAATAATAAATACATTAATGTATTGTACAAATAATCTTACAATAATTTCTGCATTTACCTCTTGTCTTTTTGGCACTACCATAGGTTATTGTATATTGTTATATATGTATTTTTATCATTTTTTGTCTGTTGTTGGAAATTGATGTATTAATTTTAAGTATTAGGAAATGTTGATCTGTTGTGGCCCAGTTTATCTTGTTCAGCGTGGAAAGGTGGGATGAGAAAACGTCTCTCCGGTTCCTTGTATGTGTCTGCTGCCAATGTGAAGATTGACACACATTAAAGCTGACCTTTGACTAGTTAATACATTACATAATGTAACATAAAGTAAATAATTACACACCATTATAGGTGTTATGAGATCTTAAAGTAATTAAAGTCAGGGTGTCCTGAAACATGTTTTGATTTCCCTGTTACCTGAGCCACAATATTAAATGTCTTTCACCTCAGAACAACCTATTAATAGGGATGAATAATAATATTTATCCACTAACATGAGCAATAAATATTTCAAGTTAATATTTTTATTATTCTAGGAAAAAAACCTTCATCATTTTAATTATTCCAATAAAATTGCCATCATTAAAATTGTTTTATCATCAGAAGTCTGGAGAAAAATGTCTTATTATATACTTTTGAGATCACTTAAAAAACAACACAAACCTAACTGTATAATAAGCAATAAAGTGATTTAACATAGAGAAGTTGTTGTTGGGCTAGTTACTTAAAAAAATAAAGTTTTACAAAATACTCTTTAAAAAAAATATTACTTACTTGTTATCCTGTCACAGTATTAGTTTATCATTGCGTCCAATATATTATAATATGAACGAGTTGGCTCTGAATGAACCAAGCCCGGTTCCTTTTATTTTCACATATATCAAATAAAAGACAGAATAATATGTATTATTTTATCTCTTTAACATATGTTGATACAACCAATAACCCATCTTATTTGTTGGGTAATCAATTGAGACTCCAGCCCAAATGGGTGGAGACTCGTTTTTGGCTGGTTCCAATATAAATAACATTTTATACAAAACGCTGTTTTCCATGTTTTTTTTGCAGGAGCATAATGTAAAATTATGGATTGGAAATTGGGATAGAATTGACCAAAGCTTAAGTAATAAGTCCATAAATGTGCCACACGGTACGATACAGGCCACGAAATCTGGGCCTAATCTAATGAGCAAGCCCAGAAGGGCATTAAGGGTGAATGAGCTGCACATAACATAACATTTTAATTCAGCATGGTTATTGATACACGGTTTCCAAAACGTGAGTTGGAATTAACATATGGGACTTAAATAAATAGATTTTACCTCTTTAGTGTTGAAAGATTATATTTCTACAGAGAGATCAAGGTCTCTTATTGCCTTTAATGTAATACTGTGTGGATCAATTATTCTGCTTCCACTGCCCTTTATAATATTAAGCCTGGTGTTTAAGTCTTATCCTTGGTAAAAACAAGAATGGCAATCACCCGATGGAGCTTTGTTTCCACACGTGTAAGGTCCATGTACCGACAGTATTAAGTGCTGTGAATTTTGGTTGTTTAAGAAAAGCTAAACAGTGTTGTTGGCGCCCACCAACTGTCAGTAAACAGCAGATGTTCCGCTGTTCCTATAATAGTCATGTGTGAATGTTTTATTCTTCCTTATATCAATGTAAATATCAGCGTTTAGGTAAAAACTAAACATATTCAAAAGAATATTGAAGGAGTTTGTCTTACCGATGGAGGGTGGGGTGGCCTTAAAGAGCGTGTGTGTTCGTTTCAGTTGTTGAAGCTTTATTTGACCTTCCAACGGCCTTCCTCGGTCTCCTTGGGCAGCCAGACGCTGGATGTTGGCAGGCACTCCTGGGATGGTACTCCGCCGAGCAACTGGAGCTCTCCGTCCGTTACGCGGCAGCCTGCAGATGGCGGGGATATTCCTGGGTTCTGTTGTCCCGGGGCGCGGTTCCCAGCCACTCCCAGGGGATCCAGCGTGAGGTACTCCAAGCACCGGCAAGCCAGGTACACCGGACCCGGCACCGACCGCTTGAGAGTTCCCCTTCCTCAGCAGTCTGTGGATCACGCACCGACGGGGAACTGGAGTCCAGCGGAGAGCGAGTCTTTGCTCGCCCTCACCTTTCGCCCACCGACTTCTCCCTTCCCAGGAACATCTTCAAAATTGGACCTGTTTAGTTACCGAACTGAATGGCCACTCTCCCGGCCAGGGCCGGGCTGCTATAAGCGACCTCCGCCGTCGCCTATTGCGGTTACGGCCGGGGTACCGACGGCCAAATCAGAACGCTCCACGTATTACTGTCAGTACCGACCGGTTAGACTACCTACAGCAATCCGGGATTTTTACCAAAATTAAGACCGTGACCAAATAAAAAAAAGCAAAATAATCAAAAACACTGCAACTACAATTTATTTGTTGGTTTCCATATTACATCAACCAAAAATTATAATGTAATGGATAATTTAAACCAGAATAATATATATATATAGTATATTCTAAATAAGTTGAGTTTACAGATGAAACTTAAAAAAATAAAAGTAATCCTACCAATAAAATAAAATAATAGCAGTTTAACATTAAAGGGCTGCAATGTAATATCAGATTCTTTTGTTATCGTTTTTAGCATTCAAAGCTGCTTCTCTTGTTATATTAAGTCTTTTAATTTCTTTTAATGTTAATTGACATCAGAAAAACGACTGAATCAGTCATAGAATTAAACTAATCCAAAACTAAACTTAGCCTTGTGCTTCTGTTATTATTTATTCATTTTTGTCCGACCCTGTTTATATCAACCCGCGGTTGAGGCTGAATTAACAGAAGTGTAATAAATGCAATAAAGACCGTAATAGTGTAAAAATACTAGATTTCACTAGGCTAATTATTGATCTAAATTATCGGTCGGTATATAACCATTTATAGAGGACGTAATGGCAGAAATGTACTCATTCATGGAGTCTGCTGTGTTTCTACATGTAGCCATGAAAGGGTCAAAACCAAACACTGGCTCCAGCTCGGGCCTCTGCAGCCACCCGTAGTTCTCCTATACACGCTTGGAAAGAGAATGGTGAGGTGAGGGAGTTGAAATCTACCACTACACTCGCTAACCAATAAGTCTTTACAGTAAATTAAAACAACACATTTTTAGGTTGATGAGGAAGATTGTCAATAAAATAATAGATAAGTGATTTGTTGTTGTTTTTACTGTATGAGCTTTTTAATTTGCTTCCTACTTGTTTTGTTTACTTAATAAAGATTCTTAAAAACAAAAGCACCCTAAAAAGACAACAGCATGTGCATCAATTATGAAAATTACATTTTATTATTTATATTTATTATCAGATTTATATAAAAATTATTTATCCCAACTAACATAACAAACAATACCCCCAATTATTATATTATTGACTTTCTTTTATGTTACTTTCGCATTCATTTTCTTGTTTGTTTTACTTCCTTACCCTGTAATTTGTTTTTATACACAGAAACATCAAACACGTCAAAACAATTAAATGTTTAATAAAAGTGAAATGAACAGATAATAACTGAAGTTGTGGTAAATTGTTGAATACTGAGCAGAATCTGGAGGGACATGGAGGATAAACATAAACAAGTAAATCAAAATATAAAAAATAAAATAATTATAATATAACAGTCTATTCCCAGCTGAATATTAATATGATCTCAGTGGGAACTCAACTTAACTTAATATCTCTTGTCTCCATGATGTAATGTTAAACATTAATGTGAGATACCATAAAATTACAATTAAATGTTCACTCCAACATAACAATTAAGTGGATATGTGTGGGTTGTGTGGTGTGTGTGGTGTGTGTATAATCTTAAAGGCCATATGTTCTTCTGTTCCTCAAGACTCAATTTTAAACTGTATTAGAACACTGTATAATCTCATTTATATTATATTAAACTGACAGTGGAATCCACTGATGTACTCGCAACATGAATCCAGATGTCCCATGAATCTAATTTAAAATGATGTAAAGTTTCTC